ATTACAAAAAAATCTGAAAATGTGATTGATTTCTGCTTCTAAGAAAAAGTGTACTTTAGGTTGAAATGTAATCATGCCTGATGTTAGCTTTGATGCCACTACAGGTAGGTTACGTTTTGACTGTGGATGGAACCTACCTGTTAGCTGTCCTGGCTGCTTGGAAAATTACGTGCAATTATGCATCATTGCCTATAGGTGGGAGAAAACATGCAATACAGTTTTCCAAAACAGTTGCCTATTTAGTTTATTCTGAATGTTCAGTTCTGTCGTTTCTGGAAGCAGAATGATACCAAGCTGTATTAACACAAGAGTTCAATGTTCTTTACATACAGTAAGTCTGAAACTCAGTTATTAACATTTGATAATTTTTATGCAACATTTTTAAATGATCTAAAGTGAATTTGAATCAACTAGCTTTCTGAAAGAGAAGACCTTTTTAATAACCTCAAGAAGCACTAAGCTACACCTGATAATTTGTTGAAAAAAGTACCACGTACCAATTCAGTGGGATTCCTTGTTATTCTTTCTGCTGTTACAGAAGGGCTTCTCCACAATTCTTTTAAGAAGGGATGAAAATAATTACCAGAGATGGGTAAAGTACATTAAAGTATGTTTAGACAACAGTGCAATGCTAATTTTCCCACACGTTTCAAAATCAGCTTTGAAATCTAAGCTGTGGGGCACATACTGTAATAGATGAAAGAAGCAACAAGTCAAACGATTAGTTGAATGGCCTGTGTATGGGATAATAGTGGTTCACAAGATGTCAGAATAAACACACCTGGCTCTGTTGCGTCCCTTAGTCAGGTAATTACTGAGATGAGTGGTGGGTGTCTGGAACAGGCAGTTTTGACAAGCTGTTGGAGCAGACACTCTGGGATCTTGTACGGCAGAATTAAATTTGTGAATGCATTAGCTACTAGGACCCAAGTGGGCATGATGGGCCTTCTCATTTGCTGCCCATACAGTGTTCTTATATTTTTGTGTATTCTGTATAGGAGTGTTAAAACTGCCAGGTTATTTGTGAATGAGATCCCCTCCAGCACCAGAAATTGCACTGGAGTATATGGGGAAAAGACATCATCATGACCCTTAGGAGGGGGGGATCTGTAATGTTCTCTAATACACCATAATGCAGGATAATAATTCCGGCTTGCTCCAGGCAGGTTGGGCTCAGCATAATATTTATGGAGTGTGTCTCATTTTGCTTTGTGGCTCGCAGACGAGAGTTAAAAGCAGCTGCTGATGTACTGAGCATCTGACAGGCCATGGAATGATAGCTTCACTGAAGGGGTAATGGGTTATTAATAATTTCACATGAAAAGCCATCAGAAAACCCAGCCAGGCTATTTTGTTTGGAAGGGTGGTAGGGAATGACAGTTAATGATGAGGTTTGTTATTACCATCACTGCTTTTATTATAATTTTCCAAAATATGCTTCGAGTCCATTGTTAATATATGCTTTGAAAGTTTAGGAGAGGGGGTGGTGTGCCCCTGTTTTGGATCAGACATTTATTGGGCATTCCTTCTGCTGGCATGCTGTACCATACATTCTCAAGCACACACAAAATAAAACTCAAAGACTAAAGTTTGAAGAAGATTACTTTTGCTTTTGTTCACAGATCATTGAATTCTGCCTCCAACCTGCTCTTTTTAAAAAAATGGAGCAGTGCACCACTGAGCTAGAGTCCTCCAGTGTGCAGGTGTTTTTAGAATCAGCTTAAGTCTCGGTTGTTCCACCGATAAGAGCTCCAGCTTTTCCTCTCTTTGTTAACGTGAGGCAAACTCATTTACTGATAATTCCTTGAAAAACAAAACGCACTCGTGAGTACTCCTCAGATTATTTTTTTGTTTCCATCTGGAAACAAAAAAGTACGCTGCATCTAGAAAGCCTTCATCATATTTTTGAGAGTGCCTTAAATAAACTTGCATGTTTATGAATGCTACTGGCATGATAAAGCTGTGAAGTGCCTAGCCCAAACACAGATAGGCAGGAACACATACGACTGCTAGTGTCTCTCACTTAGTCTCATACTGCTGGCCCGTCCTTTTCAAAACTGTACAGAAGTCTCTGCCAAACAGCCAGTCAGAACATGCCTACCTCTCGTTAATGCTTTTTATTTACGTTACTGGATGCAGCACTTATTTTATTCAGGGAGGCATTCCTCAAAATTATGGGGAAATGGAAAGAAAATCCTCGCTTCTTTTTGAGATAACGAAGCATCCTCCTGCCCTCATGAGCAAAGCAGGGGCTGATCAAACAAGAGCAGTCTTTCAGCTCTCAGCATTTCAGCCTATAGCGGCGACTCCGCAACAGACTGTTTCCCTGCCCGTCGTGGCACCACGGCGCAGTAGGCAAACAGAGGGGGAGACAAGGAAGTACAGTCAATAGTTTCATGGGCACGCAGGAAAGCTTTTAGACAGGAAGAGGTCACTGTGCACTTTTAGCTAATTTGAAAAAGCTTTCTTTCCCGTATCAGGAGTTGAACCTGACTGCCTGGGTGAAAACCAGGAATCCTGCTAAGTAAACTATATGGGTTATATGTGAAACTGCTAGACCATATAAGAAACTACTAGACAATATTTCATCTAAATCTGTGACAAGAGGTCCTAAATACCTTTTCAAAATGATTTATTTTAAATGAAAATTAATTATTTGAAATCATCTTGATCAACTTTATTTTAAGGTTAATGATGAGGGTTGGAATCAAGAATCGGGAATACAAGTTACGTCAAGGTTAGTGTTATTGGTGGTGGTTACAAGCTGAAGTTTAGGGGTAGCGTTACAGTTATTACACATGTAGTGTAATTTATGGATGGAGAAATTTGTGGGTTGCTCAAGAAGTTACACATTCTCCTGGGGATGTCTTTTTAACTGGGCTGAGTAGAGAATACATTCTTTAATCTCCCTGCTTTCGGCGATGCCTTCTTAAATTTCCATCACCATCTGTTACCCCTAAGAAGCACAACTGGGCCAGAAGTGTGTAGCTGATGAATGTTCTTGTTGTGACGGAAATGGGACAGCCAACCCCGTCCAGGGCTGACGGATTCCTGCAGTGTGAAACCGCGGACTCGCCTGGGGATCTTTTGTCGTAAAATCCTTGAGTGACTGAGGGCGGGTGGAAGAG